GGAAGTACGTAGGGATAAGCCACGTTATCAAACTAAGGTCGCGTTTTAGTTGTGAATCTTGTGCGTTTGGTTTCCGTTATTATATCGTTCTTCTCAATTGGTATTATACTCAAAACCATGTTCTTTTTTTCTTGGATAAATATCAATACCATGTTGATTGAATCGATATTACGAAAGAAGTTCGAGTAAAACGATCTGTAAAGGAGAGACTTGAAAACAAAAAAGAACCAAAATGCACCGAGACGTAAGCATGGATTTGAATTGGCACGTAAATTCTGTTTCTGCTTAATCAAATTGGTCCATCAGCTTCGAGCAACAATTCAAAACTACAAAAATCAGAAAAATTAATTAAATGCAAACAAATGATGATATTGTAATTCAGATCTCTTGGCATTTCGTTATAAGATAATGCGTTTTTACTAGTAATTTTAACACTAATCATTGCAACAAAAATAATGATAACATGTCGTATAAAACGAGTGAAAAATGAACCATGAAATAGGGTTTTGTGAATGTCCGTCCAACTAACGAAATATCAGTATAATAAAGGAAAGTGAAAATTGTTGTGCTGTGGTGCATGTTAGCGAGTAAAGAGAAAGGTGGGTGAATATTCAATGTAAGAAATGATTATAGAAATCAAGTTGTGATTCCAATTTGGAAGTGACATCCACTCATCAAAAGTCATTTGAACTCCTTTGGTGGTCCTCCTAGTGGCTCAACCTTTAGATATAGGCAAGCCTCCGCTACAATAAAACCCATTGACCAAAATCGTTTTTGGTCACTAGATTTTTTAGTAAACATATCAAACTAGTGAATGGTTGTAACAGTTGAAACCAGTTTGGTTAGATGTTTACTAACGTATAAATATGGTTGGTGTAATGCAATCCACGCATAGAATGTTAAATAGTAAAACAAACCCAATACTAAAAAAAAAAAAAACAATCATACTGTTATTACTTAAATCGATCAAAACATTTTTTTTACAGATAATTTTTCTTTATATTTCAACGCGGAAAAGTGTTTAGATCAATCATACTTATAATAACTTTTTCTATTTTAATATTACGTTTGATGAATACGATTTAAAAATAAACAACTTGAATATTCAAAATCATTTTAATGTTGACAAAAAAAAACACGCGAAAAGTGTAGATATATTGTTTCCTTTACATTAGACACTACTCAGGGTTATATATCTCTTTTCACTATA